CATTCATGTTTGATATGTTTAGGTAGGTACGGACTCATACCTCCTTTGTTTGGGTAGAAACCAATGCTCAAAAGTATTTTAAGTAGTTTGTCTTGGTTTAATCATGCACCACTTATTTTTAACCAGTGAATTAATATTCTTCAGGAGGCCGTGGAGTCAGTTGAATCCCCTGGGAAGCCATTCTATAAGCAATCTAGAACCTCTGGAGTTAGATAAACCTGATTTGAAAAATATTGGTGCCTGGACCCCAATCCCAGATATTCTGATTAATCTGTTTTTGGAAGCTCTCCAGTTGATGCTAATGTATCTGGAAATAAGAGCAAAAATCTAGAAGTGTTTTGGTTTAGGCAAAGGAGGAGCTTTAATTTCATCTCAAAGACACTATTTACCAATAGAATTGGTCTTCCACTCATAGGGACATGCAGTAAATATACATGCATATATATAACTATTTGTATTATTACCACACATACCTAAACATTGTATAATTTATTTTTGCTGTTTATTTTGATATCAGTCTTGAATAATATTTATGCCCAATATTTAATGAGCACTTACTATGATAAAGTAGTGCCAATACGATCTTTACTTTGCTGATGAGAAAACCGAGATCTATGAAAGTTAAGCAATAATATGCCACTAGTAAATACAGCTGGGATACTGCATGTACTGGAGAGCTTCCAAAACTGATTAAATCAGCTGGAATTGGGATCCGGGCACCAATATTATTTTTTTTAGCTAGCCAGGGGATTCTAATGTGCAGCCAAGGTAAAGACCAAAGTTTAGACAATGGAGATGTTAGAATTAAATGCACTATGTGACCTCTTTGAAATGCACAAGTTATCTAGCCATGCCAGCTAGGCAATCAGATTAGCTGGTTAGAATACGATAGTTAAATTTGCAGCACAAAGCATTTTTCTAGTTCTCAGTGATAAGATGAAGGTAACAGGAAGGCACATAAAAGCAAGAATTTAATGAAAACAAAATGTTCCCTAACAAAGTTACCAAGGTCCATCCAATCCCATGTCTCTGATTCTACTTGAGTTCATAGGTGTATATCTACATCAGGTAGAAAAGCAAAACTTCCACATGGAGCTAAAATAGTTGTTTCTAGATTATAGGTCAGGCAAACATCTTTAAGTGCCCCATACACACCATCTGTTGCAAATCATTTCCTCCTGGCTTTAAAGATAAGGAAACAACCTGGAATTTGATCAAAACTAAAGGCTTCAAAGTAGTAAAGAGGGGAATTATAAACAAGAATTTAATCTTTAAAAGATTATGCATGGTTATCAGTATCTAAAATAGTGTTCTTTATGGAATATTTCATGTGATAACTGCAAAATTCATGTGGCTAAAGGTGGGTGGGTATCTTATATCAGAACCTTCACTAGCAAGTGAGGAACGGTAGCAGCAGCTGCAGTAAATCTAGCTCTCCCCACTGCTTCCTCTCCCGGAGCCAGCCGGCTAGAACCAGCCCGACAACAACAGTCTTCGCAGTTAGAATAGCTAAACACTGATCTAGCCTTTCTCCACCCACATCCCTCCTCCTTTTCCTGCACTCCATCTCTGCACATTAAACTGAGTGCCTTTTTAACTATGCTAAGAAAATGCCAATGCCTCAGACACAAAGGGAGACAGAGTGGGGAAAAGGAGGAAAAGACCATACACTGGCTGAATCAGAGAAGGGAAAGGGTGGAAAGAAAAAGTCTTTTTAAAAGGCTTGATGTAGGTTTTCTTCCTCCTTTAATTACATCTGGTTGTCATTAAGATTTCTTTTTTTCTACCATATAGGAATCACCAGGAATGCTTGTTTAAATGTAGATTCCTTGGCTCCACCTCTGACCTTCTGAATCAGCCGAGTAGCTACATTTCTTGAGCCACTCAAAGCTTCCAAAATCAGCCATATATCTGCCGTTTAAATAAGCATATCAAGTGATCGAGTCTTAGACACACAAAAGTTTGGGAGTAGTGTCTGGGAGACTGAAATAACCATTCGTAAAATGGTCTTTATTTAAAACACTCAACATTTATAAACTCATTGTAGCCTCAAGCAACCTTGTAAGGTTGCACAAATATTGTTAATCTCCTCTGACAGAAGACAATATTGAGGCAATGAGATTCAATCATTAGTAGCAATTTCCTGGTCTCCTAATTCCATGTCCATGGGAGTATCTTAAAAGTATATCAATCTAGGAAGAATAGAAGAAGAAGTGGAATAAATAAACGTGGAAAGGTAATGTGTTCTCATCTAAAGAATGCACCAAGTATTAAAGAAGAAAACAAAACCCCTCATTTGGTGCGAGAAAACATGACTGATTGGTACCAGAATTACCCAAAAAAACCCAAAACAAAGCAAAATAAAAATACATGACTGAATTGGTAGATAATTCACCCATGGGATCTGATCACAGAAATAGTATTTGAACTACATGAG